CTTTGCAGGTGTTTTGAGTTGATTAGCTGATTGGCATGTCACCATATTCTAATTTGTTGAGATAGTGAATTGGTGGGTTTTTGTTAAATGTGAGCCAAATTCATTTAAATTAAATTAAAAGAACCAAAGACTTAAACTACTTCAGTCTGTGTGCATTGAATTTATTTAATACACGAGTTTCACAATTTGAGGTGAATTACTGAAATAAATAAACTTTTCCACGACATTCTAATTTATTGAGATGCACCTGTATTTGTAGTAAAATTATATTTTGAATTAGGGATTATGGCACGTGTAGGATTTTTAAAAAAAATTTTTTTTCTTGCTTCAGTCTTTTGAATATTAGTTCACATTTGCTCTATTTATTCAATATTTATTGTTTTTTCAGGGGGGAATTATGATTGAGGCAGGTCGTCGCTGTCATACTGGGGAGGGTCAGTTCATTTTCTTGTCAAAACAGGGGTCACAAATAAAGAGGGCCATTGAAGATGCCATCATGCACCAGAGTGTCCAAGAACTGCTGGCACAAGCCACCGCTCTTCCACAACAGTTCACGTCCCAGCCCCCCTCGCCTAAAAGCAAACCACAGGACAGGCCTAAGGTGAAAAATCTTCCTCCAATCAGCGTGAATCAAGATCGACCACGCCCAGCATTACAATGCAAACACGGGCAGCAAATACACAGAGCCATAGAGGAGGCACTCGTGCACAAGAGTCTCCAAGAGCTGCTGCCACCATCCACACCCCTTCCACAAGCCATTCCACCCCCACCACCTTTACCAAAACCCAAAACACAGGGCAGGGACAAAACTAAGGTCAATATGAAACTTCAAGGCAACAAGAATCAAGAAAGACCTTTCCCACCTGCACTGAAAAAACCTGGGCAGCCAATACACAAGGTCATTGAAGGGGTTCTCACACACCAGAATGTCCAAAAGGCATCATCCACTCCTCCTCAACAAACCCCTCCACCACCACCACCCTTGCCTAAAACCAAACCACAGGACAAGCCTAAGGTTAAAAAGCTACCTCCGGTCAATATAAATCAAGATAGACCCTGTCCAACAGTACCACGCAGATACATCTCCTTACCAGATCCACCACCTTTCGTCAAAAGCCCTGTAAGTAGCCCGGATGATGTTTTATATACAGTGATATTTCCACAACCAAAACCAAGATCAAAAATGAATCTCCCAAAAGTTCCAATGCCTCCGGGTCTATCACCAAACACGGATACAGATGTAACCATGGATAAAGAGAAGGAGTGGAGATCACCACAAGAAACTTCTAAGGACAACTATGAAGAGGCTCCCTACACTAACTGGTCGGCGAAGACCACTGCCGAGCAGGATCAACCGAATATTGAGGACCTATATAGCACAGTGAATTTCGCAGCTAAACGTAAGAACAGACAGCCCGAGGGCAGTGATGATCAAGAGCAGCCTAACACTGAGCAACACACTCCTGTTATCACTTCCAGTGAAATCCCTGTCAACTTCAAACAGACCCTTTCTAACATTCTGTTTAAAGATCCGTCCAAAATTCCACCCCCATTTCCGCCCAGGTCACGTGGGGGAAGTTCTGATCAGTTAGACCGAATAGATGAGCAGATGACTGATTGAGGTTTCTATTGTCTGCAGTTGAGGTCAGTGTCACTGCTTGCCTGATTAATGTGAGTGATATCTGTTATAACAGTAATTTTAACATGAATAATAGATAAGTTTTAACATGAACTTTTAATAATAACAGAATATGTACTGAGATGATTAAATTTAAGGGAAGTGTATGCTTTGAATGTTTATGTAAATGATCTTTATTGAACATGTCTTTGTAAGATATATTGTAAAAGTGTTTATATTTAACCAATATATCACAAGTCATTTAAAATAGTTTGGTTGTGATTTGGTCTCTGGCATGACAGTACTGTTTCGTTGACTGTTTTTTAACAAATCCTTTAAGGCAGGGCTGTCCAAACTCGGTCCTGGAGGGCCGGTGTCCTGCAGAGTTTAGCTCCAACTTGCCTCCTGACTGGAAGTTTCTATGCCTAGTAAGAGCTTGATTAGCTGGTTCAGGTGTGTTTAATTAGGGTTGGAGCTAAACTCTGCAGGACACCGGCCCTCCAGGACCGAGTTTGTACAGCCCTGCTTTAAGGTAAATTAATATTTCATCCCAAAAGTTGCTAGTCCCCATTGACTTTCATAGTATTTTTTCCATACTGGGGATCAGCCACTGTATGGTTACCCACATTTAAAAAAAAAACAAAAAAACAACTTATTTTATGTTCAACAAAAAAAGGAACTCATACAGCTTTGGAACTTGAGGGTGAGTGACAGCATTTTCATTTTTAGATTAACTATTCCTTTAACTTTTTTTATTCAGTGCAATCCCATTTGAAGCTCTTTCCTGCCTTCAAACCCTGACTACAGCAAGAGCCAATAGCATTTGAGTGCGGACCCTGAATGAGCATTTTATTGGTTAGACTACTTAACGAACATGCCCCTTTGCTGAACTGGACTCCAAGCGGAATTGAACTCATTCGTGAACAAACTGATTGAATGAAACATGTCATATGTCTATGGTGAAGAGGATCTGCTGACCGACTGAAAAAGAGTAATATGAGTCAGTCTAGTTCAAAACAATTGAAGAATTGTAAATATTTAGACTATTGTTGCTTTCAACAAAAGTCATATTTCCTTGCCATACAAAAAGGATGAAAAACTATGATTTTGCTTTGTTTTCATTTGTGGAGAACTCGTGTGATATAAACACGCGTTCTGTGAACGTTTTAAATAATGACTTGTTTCAGAGTAAATGATAAATGACTCACACAGCATACAAACATACACTTTCTTTGTCGCCGCCACCTGGCCTAACTATGTATTCTGAAGAAATAACTGAATAAATATTTTAGGTAAACTGTTTCAAAAGATAGTAGTGCTGGTTAATTATTGGAATATGATACAATTACTGAATTTAAAAAAATTGAGCTGTTAATTTAAATAACTGCACCAAACATTTAAGCAACTGTTATAATGAATGTATGAATCGAAGCAATTCGAATAAATATATGAAAAGAAAATCTTTATTAAACTTTTGAGGCAATAAAAAAATCACAAAGATACATAACATTTTTGTCATTACTGATGGAGGTTTTGTACATGTGAAGTGGAAAAATCCAAATGTAGGTCTTAAAGTGCAACTAAAGGGCTTATGAATGTTTTTTTTGTTTTTTTTTTCATCCCTTTCTTGTGAGTTTTCTGAAATTTTGTCAATCAAGTAATGAAGCATTGTCTAGAACTAACCATAATCCACGGGGCCTATCTATTTGGTTCTTTCAGTGTCTACTAAAACACAGACAAATAAATTGATTAATCAGAGTGCCACAGTCTCAATATCAAGCCACCAAAGCCATCAGCGTCCTCCAGACTGTCCTTCTTCGATGTCGCTGAAATGGGACGATTCGCCATCACTCGCATTGGACGTCACATTATTTTTCTCGGAAACAAAATTAGAAGGTGCGTCCATTGCATAAGGGATGCTGGTCCTCAAAGTCTGAGCCGAACTCCTCTGTCCGAGGTTACCATGGTTACCAGACGCGCCGCATCCGTCCCGCAGACCTCTGCACTCCGACTGCACTCCACCTTCCAACAACTCGGACAGTTCTGTGATGTAAATCTGCGCCAACTGAAGGGTGTCATATTTAGACAGTTTTTTCTCGTTCTCCAAGGAAGGAATGACGCTCCTCAGTTTGTCAAATGCCCGGTTCAGTCCGTGCATCCGCCGCCTTTCTCTCGAATTAGCGGCCACACGTCTGTGTCTTTGAGGGCCGGAGAGATTTTGCTTGGTCCCACCATGTGCTTTAGATCCTCCCAGATCAGATTCCGCTGTCAAAGGACTGCTGACTCCAGACATGTACTTGTCCATGGCGGCATCGACCGACGTGTGGTAGTGGTCACCAGCGGGTGAGTACGCGGGGGTCGCGGAGGTCATCCAGGCCCGTGGGTCACTGCGGGTCAACCTCGGATGTTCAGTGAGGGTGAACTCATCCGGTCGTTCGCGAAATTTTCCATCTGACCAGTGCAAACGCTTGGCTTTTGCTGTCATTGCTGGTATAATGTGCTAAAAATAAAGTACGGAGAACGCTGAACTCGATCTGACTGTCTTGGGTGGGCCCTTTACCTTCAGACAGGATCCTTGTCGGCCTTATAGTGGCATCACCGCCTCTCCCTCCTCCCCCCAGTGCCCGGTTGAGTGCTCACAGCCAATAGAAAATGATCCTCAAACTTCCATAGAATAAAGAGTTGTTTTTCCCCCTCACGTCAATTATAGAGTGATGGAAGATCTTTCCCAAAGAATGATCACAACACAGATTAGAAATTACCCAGCTGTCATTTATTTTGCACATTTACATAAATGACTGTACATACGTGCATTTAAATCATATCTATTTTAAAAATATATTCATTTGATACTTTTACAACAGTTATGGCATATTTTGTGATGTTTATATATTACATTCATATATGAAACATAATCAGAGTTTTGAATTATTATGCATTGATTTTTAAAAGTTGGAAATAAAACCCTAATCTCAAACCTCAGAGGACTTGGTCTAACCTCCTTATCCACTTTATTAAAGATAAGCAACGGAATTGGCATCTAATAAAACCCAGCAAGAAACTTGCATAGCAGCGTCATATTTCTTCTCAAATAAACTGTCAAATCTGCAGCAATAAAACGAGCAGGTGGAAAGCAGGTCGTGAGGCGCACCTGTCGTCAACGAAGTCCAGGAAAACTGATAAGTGTCTTCAGTCTCAACATAAATCATTTAGCAATGAAGCAAAACAATATTTGGACAAATCATAGGTGGAGACATCTACTAAGAAACAACACACGAAACGACCATGTTAAAAGAAGATCTTATGTTAGGCTATTATCATCAGCTAACAGTCTACCAAATGTAAACTTTTAAACAAAACATCATTCAAAAAATTGCTTATGGTTTCAAAATATCTCTAAAAACCTCTAATATATACATAAAATTGATAAACAATAACAGCATTTATGTCGTGTAGATGTACATCTAACCCTGAAACTAACGGAAACTGCTCAACGCAGTGTTGCTATGGTTACCTCCTCAGGCGAAGGGGACTTCTGTTCGCGAGCGAACTCGTTATCTAACTTTGTGGTTACTGAAACTTTTAAAAATGCAGTTGAAATGTGTAGCGGTATGGTTATTGTAAACGCATGCCATTCATTCAGTTATCCAATTTAGTAAATGCACAGAGATGCATTTAGACGCCTTTCCAAAATACTATGTCAGCAGTATGTGTGTAATATATTTTGAACAGCAAGGCTATGTAGCCTATGCTTCTTGCTCAAACAACAACAACAGAAATATAACGTCCAAGTCAACGTCTTTTAGACACGAGACTGTTTTGCTCAAATGAGGTGATGGAGAGAGAGAGAGCGTGATGACAATGGAGGCCCCTCTGAGGCTGTTCTTCTTGAGGGTTGAATAGAGAAGGAAACTTCAGCCCAGTCAGCTGTTGTCCCCTGGCACCCGTCTCACAGTCAGAGACCGATACGAACGTCTCCCATATGCTGCGACGCGTCCAGGGATAGTTTAACTTTCACACTTTTTATTTCACCCTCAACCATAACAGTGTTAATCACTGAGCACTACAACATCATCGTTTTAATTTACAGGGGCCAGCTAGCTCTCCTCTTCGAGCCTCACGCGCAGTCCTTACGAAATGTAGGGAAAAAGTAATTACTGCCAAAAATTCCATAATTAATGCCCTTTCACAGCAAGAACTTTAAAGATAACTAAAAAAATAAATTAAGATAACTAAAGATAAAGACTACTATAAAGATAATATAATTATATTTATGTTGATTAGGCTATAGTAAGCACGCGTTTATCGGGGGGGATTGTTGATTGTCAATGTTTCTATCATTCATCAGATGGGGAAAAAATCGTTCTGAAAATGAGTCCAACGATGTCGTTCTTCTGTGTCGTTATTAATATAACCTAGCTGTGATGTGGATTTCCCTGTTCTCAAAGAATTAGAAGAAAATTAAAACTTAATATCATTATAGTTCATAGTGTGAACGGCCCTTTTTTAAAGTCATAGACATTTTTATTTATTATTATTATTATTATTTATTTTAAACGAGTGCACTGTTTTATGAAATAGCAAAATGCACATCATGTAGCAACATCTACTGGTTTTAAGTTTAATTTGGATAATAAGTAGATTTTATGTTTAATTTTTATAATTTGTTCTTTAATTTTGTTCTTTTTGGTGATAGTGGCGGAAATAACACAGCAGCTGTATTCTGGTAAAATATTTTTAAGGTAAAAGACAAAAAAAGAGTAGGCCTACATTTGCTGAACATAGAAAAAACATCAAAACAGAAATACAATAAAAGGTAAAACAAACACACACACACACACACACACACACACACACACATATATGATAGAACTATGTTTTATCTGAATAGGCCAATTATTTTCTGAAACTAAAGGTAGAGTTTAAAATTCCTCTAAGCCACTCTGTTGGCGCATGTGTTTGGAGACAGGCGGTAATGTTAAATGTTGGTAAGGAAATCAGCGTGACCTGCTAGCCAGTCATTGGGTTAATGAGGCTTGCGCGAGCAGAATAAATGGGCACGCTCTCAGTCCAGGGGTTCTCCATTCATATTTTACATGAATATTTAATTCTCGCTACCCTACTGCCAGCGCAACAGCCTGCAGCCCTGAGCAGACAGGGACACACTCCCCATCTGCTGTAGGGCCTGAGACGGGGTGGCGGTGGAGCACCGCGGAAAATGTTGGGAGCATATCAAAGGTAAATTTATGAGCCCCCATGGCGTCATGGTTATTGATGCACAGTGTTTAGTCACGTTTTGGCTGAAAAAAAACGTCAAAAGTGATGAGCGACTAATGAAAAGAAAAAGAAAAAAAGGACAGATATTTGACTTGTCTTTGCAACTGACGACTCTAAATTGTGAAAATTCATTATTCCAATAATTAATTATTCCAATAAGAATTTGAATGATTGTTTATCCTGAACTTTTTGGGGCGCAAACGCAAGCCAAATTGTGTGCCACAGACACTTCGCCAAACGTCAGCTTATAGCCTAAAGACTTTTTATTAGTTTTTGGTACATCTTTGAGGGCATTGTATATTTTGCCAACGTGCTCCAACAATAGACTATATTGTTGCTATGGTTACCTCATCATCAGGCTTGCGATTTTTATTCGTGAGTATCTATTTAAGGGGAAAATATGCTCCAAGATAAACGTGAAAGCCTGTAAATAGAACATATGCTCATATTTATACTTATAGGCCTATGTAACAAATAATACAAAACTCCAGGAGTGGTGGAGAGCCTAAATGGATCCTTTCTTCGGACCTCAATCAAGCGCGTGCATCGCCTGTTTTTTTTTTCTTTTGTTCTCTAGTTAATTAAAGACCTGCCTATCTCTACACCGCCCTTG